TCCTAGATTGCAATCTCATGACTCTAATACAGAGATAATGTAGAAACCTATATACAGACACCTAGCCCATAACAAATATCCTTTCAAGGATTTTGTTTGTCTGACTATGCATACAGCATCCTGACATACAAGGATATTGTATTTGCGCTTTTAGCAGTTTGAATGTAGATGTGGTAGTTTTTCATACAAATATTTAACTGAAAAACCATGCCACTTCTTTGCATTTGACAATGATTAAAATTGGAGCGTTGATAATGGAAGTTAAAGTTAGCCTTATTTTTCTATTTTATTTTTAAGGAGGCACTTTTCATTTGGTTTTGTCATTGTGCTAGTTCAAAAGCAGAGTTTGCATATTTAAATGAGACTTAGCTCCTTCATTCTTTGTCTCACTTAAAAGATTTTAAAAAAACCTGTGCTTTTTATCTTGAATAGGTAGCATAGAAGTGCTTGCATCCTTGGGAGAATGGGTTTAATGAATCACAATATGTGTGCCTTTATTTATAGTATAGACAAATTTTCCATATTCCTGAGAGAAAGCTGCATGTAAATACTGGAAATATTTCAAATAAACCCCTAGATGGCAGGATGGGACTATCCACAGTACACGCCCATAAGCTTAAAATGGTTATCTCTGAAACCCTATAGAGCTTGCAGCATGTGCTTGAAGTACAGACAATGTATTTCAAAAAGGATATTTTTGGAATAGACGAGATGATGGATTAGTCACAATTAATTAGAACATTGCATCTAGTTACTTTAATCATGACACTATGAGATATCTGTAGCATTTGGAATTTATTTTGGCTGCTGATGGCTTGTTTACTTTGCCACAAATTGTCCATCCATGTTCTGAGCAGACTTCACACTCACAGGAAAGATTCTGGAAAAGCACTTCATCATATCTCTTCTATTATCATCATCATCATCATCATCATCATCATCATCATCATCATCATTATTATTATTATTATTATTATTATTATTATTATTATTATTATTTGAATTTCTATACCGCCCTTCTCCCGAAGGACTCAGGGCGGTGAACAGAATAAGATTTCATATACATATAATATATTTTTTTATAAACAGTAAATAATAAATTGAGTCAACTTAGTGTATCTGCTAAGACCTTGGCATAGAATTTAGATGTTTATGCTAGCCCTGCTTGTTGAAACAGAAAGGTCTTCAGGGCACGTGGGAAAGTGCGAAGATCTGGGATTATTCGTATTCCAGGAGGTATTTTGTTCCAAAGAGTAGGTGCCCCCACAGAGAAGGCTCTCTCCCTTGGAACTACTAGACAACATTGTTTTAATAATGGTACTATGAGTAGCCTACTCTGTGAGAGCATATTGGTTGGTGGGAGGTTATTGGTTGCAGGAGGTGGTCTCGTATGTACTCAGGTCCTAAGCCATGGAGCTCTTTAAAGGTAAGAACCAACATCTATCACTAGATCGTCTTCTTTGTAAAGGAAATCACATTTCTGTGGTTTTTAGCAATTAATACCAAAAAACCTCTATTATTACTCTGAATAGACATGTGTAAAGTTTAATTCCTGTAGTTGTTGGATATCTATCCTCTAGGCCTGTGATGGCGAACCTATGGCATGTGTGCCAGAGGTGTCATGCAGAGCCCTCTCTGTGGGCATGCGCACTGGCCAGCTGCTCTCTTCTGGGTTCTGGCACATACATGCACACCAGCCAGACCAGCTGTCCAGCGCGCATGTGCATGCTGGAACCCAGAACAGAGCAGCTGGCCAGTGTGCATGTGCACCAACCAGCTGGTCTCTTCCAGGTTCCAGTGCTCTGGTGCGCGCACTCCAATTTTGGCACTTGGTGCCAAAAAGGTTAGCCGTCACTGCTCCTGGCATTAAGACCTGTTAAGCTTCATCAAAAATACTGAGATTGTCAGCCTCTGCTTTTACTGCTTCAGCTGCCATAAGAAACGGGTGGGAAATAGTTAGGGGGCTGAAGGGAGGGAAGGAAGCAGGAGGAGTTTTCTAAGAAACGAAAGTGATTCTCCAAAGGAGCAGTCAGACCAACCGTCATTACATTCCTGATGGATGACGCTGCCAGACGTGATTCCACCTGACCTTTGGGAGACCTGTGGATTGGATGATGGATGGGGGGGGAAGATGCTTTCTAGATGCAATTTCGCGCGTTTTGCTTAGTCCCAGCTTTACCTGGGTAGCGATCGCTTCATTTTCAGTAAAAGTACTAATCTCTATAAAAATGGAGTTTGGGTCATTCTTTCCTGGAATTTGAAGGAAGCATACCTGACAGAGATTCAGTTAGTGTTTTGACATCATAGTGGTAAATTCTACTCTGTAGTATTGTGAATTCTCTGAAATAGCAAATAAAATTGTCATTTCTTTTTTAGTTTGTTGTCGGAAGAAATATCTGGTACTAAAAACTATCTCTAGTTACTCCATTGTTCGTTAAGCTGTTGATTTGTTAACATATTAATTTTATATATTCTTGATCGGAACGCTATTTTCAGAAAATGGAAAAACTTGTAATTACAGAGGTGTGTTTTTTTTTAAAAAAACCAAATTTATTTACATACTTTATTTACATACAGTCGAATAATATACTGTGTTATCAGTAAAACTTTTATGTTTGGTCGGAGATTAAAAATGCTGAGCCAAAGCTCTTACCTTTGTCCTGCTATGGGATAGAATTCTGTGTGTAACAGCGCTATTTTTTTTTTCTACTCAGCAGAATTCCCAGTTTCAAAGAAATCAAGTAAAGTCACAAATAATTATCACAAGCAATAGTGACCTTGAGTAAAGTCTCAATCTGGTCTGAAAATGTATGTGTTTCTTATAGGTCATATGTGTATATCATATCCAAACATAACTGTTTATATATTCTGATATAAACAAACAGAACTGTACACCTATTTTCAGTAGACTTTTTATTGGTTTTAATAAATATATTTAATAAATGTAAATGTATCTTAATAACTACTTTGTCCCAATAATGTCTTTCTATTGCTGATGTAGCTTGAAGGTCATATCAAAATATATCCAAAGAAGATATTTTAAAATCAAAGGTTGGCTCATACTATGAATTATTATTATTCACACACAATAATGTGAAATCCACAACTGCCAGTTATTTAGCCAATATTGGCCTTCATATGCCTTGAGTTCTTCCTAAAAACCTAGGTTGTCACAATGTATCAGGAACATGTATGGTTCTAAGCAGTGGGAACTTTTATAATTGACAGATGAAATGTCAATGCACAGATTTTGTAAAATTTTGGTATGGCACCCAGTGTGCTGATAACCACTAGTGCCACCATGGTTAGTTTATGCCATAAACTTTCAATTTTGATTTTCAGATCTTGACACGTTGTGATCCCCACCTCCACAATTCTTTGTTTTCTACTATCCCCTGGTATTGTTGCATCCATTATCCATACTTTCTTTCTTTCTTTCTTTCTTTTTTTAACCACAGTTAAATCTGTTGTGTTATGCCTCAAGGCTTTAACAGGTTGTATTTGGAAATTCCACAATATTTTAACCTGCTCATTTTTCATGACTTTTTCAACTCGTATGTTCCCACCAATTTTTCATTACTGATTTTTCTATTATATTGTATTATTATTTCAGAGCACTTTGTCCCAGCATTCAATTTACAAGCCAGGCATAATTACACTGTGAATGTCAGAAAGATATTTTAAATATATGAGTTAACACTCAATCTTTTGCCGTTAACAGGGTTCATCCTGTGAGTTGTTTAACATTGGAAGTACCACAGAGACTGCATAATCTTACATCCTTAGAACAGAATTTGTGAAAGAAGATGCAATCTCTGTTGTTCTTTCGTAGGTATTCAAATTCTTTTAAAGAAGCACAAACAGAAGCAGTTAATTAGCTGGATTCTGAGATAGTAGGAATTTTGCCAAAGCTGAAATGTGCTGTCTTCTACACTAACAGAAACAGTTGCTTCAGGGCTGCAGCAAGCTTTGTGACAGAATCATGATAAAATCACTTTGTCTTCATATACCAATAGTAACACTGCAGGGGAATAAAGATAGTTGGCCAACAGGGGCTCTGTATTCTTAGTTAGTATTGGCAGCTTTTCTAATTACTCTATTCCAACCACTCAATTATTTGTTGTATCTTCCTAATGTATCACCAGCTTTATTTTATTCATGCACATTTTAATTAAGACATCAAAGTCTAATTTAAAAGTGGTAGGCAATATTATTTTCATCGGGTTCTATTTATTGTAACACTCAGTGAAATGTGCCAGTCAATTGCTTATTGTCAACTAACTGAATTCCAAAAGAGTTACACTTAAGGTATATAAGATGGCAGGGGCAGCAGCTACAGTATCAGAGTTCACACTTCAAAATTAATGTCACACTTTTTATTGTTAAAACCTTTGACCATCATTATGGTAGGTCCACCACTATTTTAGTGTACACAAGCACTCACCCTCACTTACGAAACTATGCTGCGAAGTGTTAACAACTTATTTTGTGGTCAATCCACATTGGTGCCGTCAAAGCCCTCCTTTTCTCAGAACAACAGGTGCAAAAGCTGAAGGTCATCATGAATATCTTGATGTATGTACTATTATTATGCCCTGACATGGACTGTATATGAAAGAACATTTAGGAATTCCAAAGAATGCATGCCTAATATTCATCTAATGGCCCATTACTGGACTACTTTTTGAAAAAGATCTCATCAGGCAATGTATGAACCTGCCAGAGATTTGATTTAATCCTGAGGTCTGATGTCATCACACTGCGACACTGCTGACCTTAAGACTCAGGTAGAAATTGAGCAGACTAAAGATGTACTTTCAACCCAGGGCACATCTAATTAAAGAAGTGTGAAAATGCTCAGAAAAATCTGTATAAATCACAAAATTTCTAAAGAGAACCTGAACTAGACAAACTATTACAATTTTTTTCCCCTTCAGGGGAGATAAGAAGAAAAAAGAAACCTACCACATGAACATTTCTCATATTTTTTCTGGACTTACGGTTAAGAAGCAGGCTGGCATTGGTTGTGCCTAATTTGTTGGCGGCGACACATGTATAGTTGCCAAAATGCTCTTCTGTCACATTGTTGAAATTTAAAAATGATCTTGAACTATAGCTGTTTATAGTAATTCCTTGTTGCCCATTGATCAATCTAGAATGGGGGAGAAAAAGGAAAGTACTCTGTTAGAATTAACATGCAAATATATCTGCATTTTTTATTTATCTATATGTGAGTGGAATACATTACCTTACACCAAAGTAGGATAGCAAAAAATGGGAATAAACACAAACTATGAAAACTATTGATGCCACATTTAGAAAAAAATGCTAGTGCCATAGTTTTCTAACGGTCTGTAAAGGACTATCATCTATGCAAACAACAGTGCATACATATTAGACCAGGGATGTCAAACTCAAGGCCCACTGGCCAGATCTGGCCTATGGGGTGCTTAGATCTGACCTGTGGAAACAGTGAGGGATTGGCCCACAGTGCCTCTGCCAGTGAAAATGGAGCGGCCTTCCTGATCTCTGTTTTCACCAGCAGAGCACTTGGGCCACCACAGGCATCCCTGACATGAGTGGTGCCCCCTGGCCACCCCCCCAAAGTCAAACCCAAACTGATGAAATCGAGTTTGATACCCCTGCATTAGACCATAGAACACATTTCCTTCCTTCAGCACAAGTCTCTTAAATTTAAAGAAGTCTAAATTGAAACTTGGTTTCTTGATTCAGGAAAAAATGGACAAGATACCCAATAAATGTATACATGAAATGATACAAATGGGGACAAATAGTGAAATAAAACTACAATTCATTTTAGAATGAAGCTCTTTTTCATTTTCAGTTGTGAAGGAGCAGGGCAAGCTGTAACTGAATGCTAGGGATAAACAGCAAGAACTAATTACTCACAGTTCAGGAGAATCAGGGCACAGTAAGGTAAAGATTAGCAAATGACTTTAAAAGCAGGCCATAAGACTAGGACAGAGTTTCTCAAACTTAGCAACTTTAAGATATATGGACCTCAACTTTCAGAATTCACCAGTCAGCAGATTGAACTCCATTTAATGTTGCCAAGATTGAGAAATTCTGGTCTAGGAATTATAAGCACTTTCCAGAATCTCTACTTAGAATTCCCCAGCCAGCAGATTGAACTCCATGAACCTCAATGTTGCCAAGGTTGAGAAACACTGGTCTGGGAGTTATAAGCACTTTCCAGAAACTCTATTCACTCCTTGTGTTGGACACTACCAAAGTAGCTGGAAAGGCAAAAATATTTAATATGGGTTCAAAGCAAGGCAGTGTAATAACAATGCACTTTGTTTACTGAATTTATTTTTTGAGAAAGCAAATGAAAATTATTTGAGTTGATTTATCCAAATAATACGTTGATGGCTTGGAAATGATCAAAACTTTTATAAGAAGTATAAAAAGGAATCTTTGACAAACACAGATCTTGAACTTCAATTTAGTCCTGTATGTTTGCTTCGGGAATCAGTCTCAATAATAATAATAATAATAATAATAATAATAATAATAATAATAATAACAACAACAACAACAACAACAACAACAACAACTTTATTGTCATTGTATGTGTATACACAGTATACACATACAATGAAATTTACTTAACACCCAAAGAACACACATAATCCCCAAACACACTCCCACTCACCTCAATTCCCCACCCTTAAACCACCCAAACATCCACACAACAGACCAAGTAATATTGCCCAACAGCTCACTGATGGTGGTCCTTTAGTTCATTGTTGAGTGCAATTATAGCTCTGGGATAAAAATTATTCAGAAAACGTGTGGTCCGAGTTTTAATTGTTCTGTATTTTCTGCCAGAAGGCAACAGTTCAAAAAGATTGTAAGCAGGATGGAAAGAGACTCTGAGAATGTTATGCAACTTCCTCAAACAGCGAGATTCGAAGATGTTGTCCAGGGCTGGTAGCTGGAGTCCGATAATATTCTGGGCAGTTTTAATGATTCTCTGTAGAGCTTTTTTGTCCGCTACAGAGCTGCTCTCATACCATGCAAGAATGCTGTACGTCAGGACACTCTCAATGGTGCTGCGATAGTAGGACAGAAGTAGATGCCGAGATAGATTTATCTTCCTGAGCATTCTCAGGAAGTACAGCCTCTTCTGTGCCTTCTTCACAAGCATGTTAGCATTCATAGTCCATGAGAGGTCCTCCGAGATATAAGTGCCCAGAAATTTAAAACTACCCACCCTCTCCACCTCCTCACCATTTATGTACAATGGTAGATGTACATATCTCTTCCTCCTGAAGTCAATTATAAGTTCTTTAGTTTTTGTGGTGTTAAGTGTGAGATTATTTTCATTACACCACAATGTCAGCCCTTGTACTTCCTTCCTGTAAGCAGACTCATTGTTCTTATTAATGAGCCCCACCACTGTTGTGTCATCCGCAAATTTAATAATTGCATTGGTGTTATACAATGGGTGCAGTCATGCGTATCTCTATCCTCTACTCCAACCATTGGAAATATCTGTTATTCGGTTTAGTTCATTCATGAGAAACTTGGAGGTGCCGAAATGTTATTTACTAACAATTCCCAGCAACTTTAGCAGGCATGTTTCGATGCTGTACTTAGGGTTTGGCAATATTTAGAGAACCTAGATCCAAGCTACTAGCAAAAGGTGTTTAAAGGAAACAACATTTTGGCTTCCTTTCCAAAGAAGAGTCAAGATAAATCGATTTCTTGATTTTGATATTCAGAGCAATAGGATGTCAGTAGTGATCATACAGTCTCCTTTTATTGATTTACACCCTTTTTATTCATTGCTGTTTTAAATAAAAGCATTTGGTGGAAGCCCCAGTGATCATGTCATCTTTGTGAAGCAAATGATACAAATTATGTAGCTTACAATATTATTAGTTGTATTATGAGATGAAATAAGAGAAATACAGTACATCATTTGTTCAATCTCACCATGATGTATGTGACATCATTTGAACTCCTTGCCTCTTTGAAAGAGACCTATCCTTGTAGACCCTCTCATATCCTTTGCTTGCTTCTTCTGTTTGAGTCATGTACATATTAAAACTACTTTTCATTTTGACTCCAAAACAACACTGAATTTCTAAAGATAGCAATAGCACTTATATACAGCTTCATAGTGCTTTTATATCCCTCTCTAAGCGGTTTACAGAGTCAGCATATTGCCCCCAATCTGGGTCCTCAGATTGGTAGCAAATAGGTAGAATTTGCAAATAGGTAGCAAATAGGTAGAATTGCCTAAATATACTTCTCATAGATAACAAATGATGCAGCAACTTGCTTGTTTTTCATTGCATATCGTAATCACCTTTTGCACATATTAACTGTTCTTTTATTCTACAAAATGCTCTGATTTTTACACTAAATGTATAGCATATGAAAAATGAATAGTAAACAAAACTCACTTATAAATCCGAGATAGCACACAGGGACATTTTAATTATAGAACAGATATAACACATGGATTAGGTTATGGAAGCATCATTAAAACTCTTAGTTTTGTATACACAAATTGTTCTGCATAATAATAAATTATAAATATTGCGACTATAGTTAATTTTATCGATATTTACTAAATGTGGGCCCAAATTGAAATTTTCTCTTGTATAAAATGTCATCATTGCAAAATTGTTTGTTGAAGAAGCCAGAGTATAGATTATCCATACAATGGTCACTTTTTACCTCTTTACTCAACTATGAAGAAAAACTACAATTCAGTTACTTTATTTAAAATATTGAGGACTAGAAAAGCTATCATATCAGTGGGGAGGCATAAAGCATCAGATTTTCTTTAGTGTCTATATTCCCTCTCTCAAATTCTCTTTAATTTCCCTCAATGTTCTTGATGAATAAACTACCAAACAATTGTTTGAATGAGGCACAGAAAACACCCCCAAAATGTAACAGCAAATTTAGGTTGAAACTAAATGATGACTGTCAGTGTAACATAGTGCAATATAAATTATGCTTATGTACTTGTGTGGGCATTTTTCCCCCTTTGGAAAGCTGAAGAGTCTCTCTAAATAAAAAATGGTTTATTTTCTACCATAGAATGCTCATGGTTTTCTCTCTTTCCTTTCATCTTGCAATTTGAGTTAAGTGCAGAACTTGGCTCCCATGGATGGAAATACTTTTTCTTCTTCTGATTTTTGATCCAGTGACAGATCCCACAGGAGGGAAGAGTAAAGAGTCAATTGCAAGCATGTCCTTTCCTTCTGAAAATGTGTTACAGAAGTTGAGAAATTGTTAGAATAATAGGGTAAGAGTTAAATTGGGTAAAAATTACTCATTTGCCAGCTATTGTATTCTTTCAGAATGGATTTTATTCATTGGACCTTACTGTTGGTGGAAAGAAGAAGTAGGTTTTAATCACTTAAATCACATACTTTTACTAATGCACTTTTATGTGAACACACTCAGGGATGGGTTCTAATTTTTTTTACTACCGGTTCTGTGGGCGTGGCTTATTCTGTGGGTGTGGCTTGGAGGTCATGTGACTAGGTGGGCGTGGTTAGCTGGTCAGAGTCATTTCTGGAAGGTCCTCGCACTTACGACCAGTCCTCGCACTTACGACCCGACTCATTTGTTTGCTTTTAACACTGATCAGCTGTAGGACGGCCCTTTGAAGCCCCACGGCAAGAGTTTAAACAGTTTTTTTCCCTCTAGTCATCAGCTGGGACTCAGGAGGCAGCAATAGATTGGGGGTGGGACCAAATAAAAGGTAAGAATAACGTGGGTGGGTGGGGGAGTGGGAGGGCGCGGGGGGGGGAAGAACCGGTTCGGCGACATCATATTGTCACCGCTACCGGCTCGGCCGAACCGGACCGAACCGGGAGGAACCCACCACTGAACTCACTTAGGAAATGCCTCCTAGTCTCTCCAAACAGGGCTGGGAAATTTGATTTTTTTTCCTGTTCTTTTTTTTTTTTTAAGTTAAACTTAGCAAGGTTCTGGACATCTTTTCTTCAATGGTAGAGGCTGATCTTATAACAGTTATGATTTTCTGGCATAAATAATACCACAAACACACTGAGCCCATGGTACCAAGGTTGATTATTTACTTCTTCAACCCTTTTATCAACTGGGCATGTGTAACCAGATTCAGTTTTTCGAAATATATAGTTAAATGTGAGAATACTTAGCTATGCTTGATTACTGCAAGAATTGCTTATATTTCATTCTGAAAGCAGAATTCATACTTATATAAATAAGTTACCATTTAATTTTGATATATGGAGGCAGCACATCATAAATCTAGGAGAGAAGTACTTTTTTTTGCTTTCAGGAAAATGTATATCTATCATTAATGTATAGCTGCATATTGATGATTTAATATTGCACATTACATTAATGTTCTATTTTTATTTAATCACCACACAGTTCTGCATATAAAACATATTTAGTTTTACCATATATTTCCAAAGCAGAATATTACATGTAAGAAATAGATATTGTAATCCTTTTCAAAATCCTGATCATGAATTGTTGGTGCAAAGTTGGATATTTCTCCTTTAATTTTTTCTAGTACATTCCTGTGTGATCATGCTATGTGTAATAGAGCTTATTTACACGCAGGTAAGCTATACATTGCAACCTAAAATTTAAATATTTCTTTCACAAAGTTTTAATTATTAGTTCCTGTTTACCAAATACAAATATCCTCTGAAAAAAGAATATGAGCTGCATCGTGTTTTTATTTCTAAAGTGTAAAATTCATGTAGACAATGAATAGATTAGAAAGATACTAAGGAAAACGTCCCTTTTGTTGTAGATTTCAGGGGTCAGTTAAGAAGAACAAATAGAAATAATTACAATTATTTAACTGTAATTTTGATAGGGCAAACTTTCTTAGGCCAAGTGCCTTCCAGTTTTTGACTGGATCCTAGAAGTTGTAATTCCAATCATTCTGAAAAGCACCAATATTGGAAAGGCTGATATAAATAATTCAGGTCAATCCATCCAGTGCTTCATAGCTATCTATGGTGAATGTAGAAATCGATTTAGTTTATGTATTTATATACCATCTTTGATATTTTTATAAATAACTAAAGGTGGTGAACATATCTAATACTTTCTCCTCCTATTTTCCCTACAACAATGAGCCTGTGAGATGAGGTGAGCTGAGACAGTGATGGGCCCAAAGTCATCCAGGCAGCTTTCATGTCTAAGGCAGGGCTAAAACTCATGGTCTCCTGATTTTTATCCTGCTGTTTAACTACTAGACGATCAGTAGAATGAGGTTTGTTGAATGTTTCTTCTTAATGTTCTACTTGTCAGAATATTTGATTTAAGTGTGAAGAAATAAAAAGTGCTAATTGTACCTGCTGCCTGCTGTTTAGAATTATATATACATATACTACTTTATTCTGCTCATTCTGTACCACAGCTTTTGGATCACTATGAATCTACAATCCATTTTGAAATGTGTCCAATAAAAACAGAAGACATCTATTTTCATGTTAAATAAAGAATTTCCCAACTCATTTCTCACAATAAAGTTAAAAAAGCCCTATGAATGTCCTTTCCTGACTTTGCCCTTTGTCCACATATGGTCTGTATATCTCTTGATACACCCTTATTTCTTCTTCTTTTCCCCAATCCCTTCTAACCAACATTGGTTGGTTAGAAGTTCAAACTGGTACTGACCTCCCAGGCTGTATGTATAAGAATACCCAGTTATTTACGATACAATATGATACTATACTATACTATACTATACTATACTATACTATACTATACTATTATACTATACTATACTATTACTATACTATACTATACTATACTATACTATACTATACTATACTATAATATACAATTCATCCTCCTGGTATACATTTGTCTGAGTATACAAAGTCAATTCAATTTTCCTTGTATTAAATAATCTCCCTTGCTTGGTAGAACTTTTCCCCATCTAGTTCCTACACTTGGGAATTTGACTCTTCCTTGAAATACATTTGGAATATGATCTCTTGGCATTTAGAAAGCTTGAAAGTCCCCTTCTTATCATTATTAGTTATAAAATTATATTATGGTCATCAGGGGTGGTACTCACTTACATTTGCTACCGGTTCGCAAATGTGATCGCTTGCCCGCATCACCTTTGCGCATGTGCAGGGCCTTCCACGCATGCGCAGAACATCAAAAATGGTATGTGATGATGTCCGGGCGGGTGGGCGGAGGCTCCCACAGCCGCCACTGCCGGTTTGCCTGAACCAGATAGAATGGGCTGAATACCACCACTGATGGTCATGCTTGTATTAGGAAAGGTTTCATAAGGAAATGTTTTCTGTGGATTATCTATTTTTCTGGGTTTCTGGGTGGTGGGTTTCAAAATTTTTTACTACCGGTTCTGTGAGTGTAGCTTGCTGGGTGTGACTTGTTGGGTGGGTCATGGGAAGGATACTGTAAAATCTCCATTCCCACCCCACTCCAGGGGAACATTACTGCAAAATTCCCATTTCTTCCCGATCAGCTGGGACTTGGGAGGCAGAGAATAGATGGGGGCGGTGCCAGTCCGAATTTTTACCACTGGTTCTCTGAACTACTCAAAAATCCCGCTACCAGTTCTCCAGAACTGGTCAGAACCTACTGAAACCCACCTCTGGGTACCTCTACTGAAAACTCTTTCACTATATTTACATCATAGAACTGAATCACAGCTTGGATTGGCCGCTTTCTCTGACAACACACACGTCAAGAAAAGTCATATAATTCTCCCCCCCATTAAAATGCAGACCGCCATGAGAAAAGTATCCAAACTTACTTTCTTTCTCCTTTGTACCATTCAAAAGCTGGGGAAGGAACGCCGGCACTTTCACATCTTATGAATCCAGTGCCTCCAAGAGTGACTCCACTGGATTTTATTTCCTGAATTGTTGGGGCAACTGCAAGGAAGCACAAATATGTTTTTGAGACATTAAACACTTGTTAGAAGCATGTACGTGTAATAATAACAATGAAAACTTTTTGAAAATAATACAGTAATGCAACCTGATTTATTTATGTTGGGTTTCTTAGAATCTAAAGCACGTTTGTTAATTTGTTTCACATATTACAATCACAACACAATAGTGCAGAAGAGGGAACATTAGACCTAAGGTTGTTCACTGAGTTTATTACAAAAGGAAGGTCCAAAATTTAAATTTATTTTCCCCTATGGTTATGGTGTGGTGAAAAATGAAAGCATTAGAACTCAGAAAACTATTGAACAAAACAAAGTATTTTATTGGGTCCGTCAATGTTGTGCAACTGTGAAACATATTTCTGCTAATATGTTTTCTTGTTGCTAAAATTCTAAGTATAATAAAGAAGCAAGGCCACTGAAGTGGTATCATTTCCTGCAGGGCCAGCATAATCCTAGATTGCTTGTCTATGCCTTCTTTTGCTAATATTCAACATTGTTTTAATTAAAGATATAGCAACACCTTCTCCCCTTAAATTATTTCTAGAGGAATATATTAATAAGCTTTACCAAAATAGATTTTACCACAGCTCTGAATACAGTCTGTTAATGTCAAAACCCTTTTAAAAAAATTTTCTTGCGCAATGTGTATAGGAAAGAATACATGATTTTAAATGTTGAACAGTATGAAAAAAATATTAAGTTTATATTTTTTTTAAAAAAATCATTGGGGCAACTTTCATTAATACATTTGAATCAGAAAAATGTTAAAGAAAACCAGGCATTGAGCCCTTATTCTATGTTAGAAAGAAAGACATTGCGGTAGACATAGAAAAAAGTGTGCCAGAGTTTTATGTTTAAAACTTTGGATGGATTTGTAAAGTTATTTGCAGAAACATTGCAAGTGAGAGAAAACTACAAATGATAATTGATGTAGAGACCATAAAGTGCACAATGAATTAGGGTAAGAATTTATAAATTTTAATAGTACAATTCACCATATTTATAGACAATGTATTCATTCATTCATGCACAGGTGCATTCAGTTTGGGCATTTTGTATACCCACTTACATCCTACAGCTTTGCTATCCTTTGCAAACCCAGCTTTTCCCATTTTCACAAAGGATCCCAACGCAGTTTACAATCACAATGAAACAATCCCATAAAAATAGTTCTGCATCAAAGCTGGCATAACCATCTGGCATCATCAGTTCAAGAAGTCCTTCAGAATCATAGATTTTAACACTTTTTTTTTTAAGAGAAGGAAGTTGAGGCAATCCTAACTTTAGGATGCAAAACACTTCAGAAAAATGGATATGTCAGCAAAGCCTGTTTTCAGGCTCCCTGTCAAACTTCAAAATGTGCCCTGCTGTCACAGCCATCTTTTAGTTTCTCAGCTTGCCAGAAGCTATGCGGGGGTTGGGGGGTGGGGAGAGGTTTGGAATGCCAGCCTAGACAACAACAAGAAATCATCCTGTGGGAACTAAGGTCATCTTAACAGAAGTTTGGCAAGGGCCTGAAGGAGTTGCCATAGTGACACTAGAACACCTAATTGGACAATGTGACCTGGTTGAAGGAGGGGAGGAAAGAATTCATTCTTTAATTAGGCGAAAACCGTGGGAATTAGTTAGAGTTGGTTTTGCTTCATGCATGCCGAAATGATGAACACAATAAAGATATGCTTAAGGAGGTCTGATTGTCTCCACTTGCTAGCTTGATTGGATTCATCATTTGGAACCTTGACACTCCCATCTCATCTCTCACTTCAGAGATATCATAGATAGGCTGAATCTGAGTGGGAAAGATAGACATTTCTTAGATGCCAAGCCATGCAGTTTTTAATGATAATTATCATGTTGCATTGGGTCCAGAAGCAAATTTGTAAGCAATGTAGTGACTGCAGCATAGGTGTAACATTGCTGAATTTTCTACTCCCACCTAGGAAGCCTCTGCAATCAGAGGTTACAAGGCATGTATGGCAAATTACAGAAATCCATACATGAGGTGACAAGGGCTGGAATCAGTGTTACCAGTGTCTCAGTCCAAACAGGCCCACTTTTTATGCACAAGAGGAAGATGCACTTGTTGCTCTAGTAGGAATCAAGAGTCTAGGAGGATTTCCAAATTGGATATCCATTCTTTTAGGGGTATTGTAACCCATTAAAAGTCTAAGATGAAATTAGGATCATATCATGTGGTTCATCAACAAACAGCAAGTCCACCTTACAGAGATTTAATTTAGAATTATTTTTGATACATCTGGGCCATTATTGCTCCAGGTTCTGGGCTATGATTACATGGTATCTCTGGCCTGGGCAGGCATGATGATAATGCAAAGATTCTTCATCTGAAACCAATGTATTATCTGCCTCAGCAACTTTATGCAGGTGGTGAATAATGTGGATGAGAGGAGAACAGTTATAGACACAACCACTCTGTTCCCATGCATGCCAACTAGAAGTCCCTATTTAGAAATTTCTATAGCTTAGTATCTTCAACCACCAACACTTGCAGATAGCACAGAAGGATACTATTTTGCCCCTGTGGGAATCTGAATCTGAAGGGGAAGACGAACTGTTGACAGAGAGTGAAAGAGTGGCTCCGTTGGCTGTGGAAGAAACTGAGGAAGGGCAAAGTCAGGCTGGAAAGAGCAAGGGAGAGATAGAACAAGGGAGAAGGGGTTCAGATGAAGACCAAGGCCCACCCCCTCCTCATCCTAGGCAGTGCAGAACAGAGAATGGAGAAGAGAGCAACGTGGGTTGTGTGGCTTATGAGTGAGGAAAGGGCCCCAATTCCCTTCACAAGGCACACCTGCTGATGGAGTTTAAAGGAGAGGCAAATGGGAGGGGTGGTTGTTGGGAACAAATGCTGAGTTCATCATGTTCACTGTTTATCTGAGTTCCTGGCATCCTCCCAACTGGTTTGATTTACTGCCGTGCTACTTCACTTCTGGAACTTCTTATCTTGCTGCCCTGCCGGACTAATTACCTTAGCTTGCGTTATTGGATTTATAGTTGGAAGTTTTCTGTTTACAACATTTGGGACTGAAGTATTGTCAGCCAAAGACTATTAGAGGTTGGTGGAAAAGCTCTCTCCGGAGGGTTGAAAGGGACATTGGGGGCACAGTTGGTGATAGTAAAAGGACTCATACTGGTTCTTTGGCTGTGTTGCCTTTGTGTCATGCCCTGGATCATCACAGATACTATGGACAATGGTACATATCTGAATCCAAGAAAGATGATCTTCCAGGGCAATCAAATCCATTTCCATTCCCTACCCAGGCCTAAATCCTGACTACAAGATTGCCAGAAAACCCATTTCTTCTAGGATTCTTCATAGAATCCATAGTAAGAGAAGTTTGAACATTGATTTGTCTGAATAGTTGGACCAGGAATCACTTCTCTGTAGGGGAGCCCATTACTCCCTTCTTCAAAAAGATTTTCCATATATAAAAAAAAAACATAAAGAGCTCCAAAATCCCAGGAATCACCTCCTGGCCACACAAATGAGTAAGGTGGGGGCATTGATTAAGTTTATTAATTATAAAACTTATATAGTAGAGATATTGGGCCAATTGCATTATGTTATTTTCATAAAAATCACCCAGGTATACTTTACCAAATGTTTGAAGAAAGATTTATAATAAATGTGGCATTCAAATACCCACTCAGTTTTATGCAGCTTCATGCACCTATCCTCAGAAAACTAAGATAACATTTCCATTAAATGGACATGGCCTAATTTAAAAAGACGAACAGCTAGTTGTATACGTCTATGTATGTGCATGTCTTTTTTTTTAACAATTGGTTCATTGTTACTTTTAGCAAATCAGCTCCAACTCATAGTTCTACTACACAATATGTCAGAAATAATACTTGAACAGGAAATAATATCAATTCAAATGCATTACAAAATTAAAAATGACTACTTTTATAAAAGAACATGCAGTATACAGGGGCCATATCCCTCCATACTGCATCTGAAACCTAAGAATTTGAAAATCAATTAAACAGAACCTGTTTACAATAATCAGTAATGGATTTAAAAATACCACTAGTTCTGTTTAATAGATTATACTTGGAATTTATAGTAAGGCTATTCTTTTGCATCCTGGATATAATTTTAATTTCTGCCACTATTGGAAACTTCTAGAGTATACTTTAGTTTCCCCTACGTCTTCATGACAGTTGAAAAATCTAGTTTAAAATAATAAATCTTCAAGATATGGATTTTGTTAGTGATTTGAAGAGAAAAGTTCATGTAGATCATAAATAACAGACCTATTTTGAAAATGAGGTGAAAATTACTAGAATTCTATAATGTAAAAATATTTGCAGGATGAGATAAACTCATATTGACTATTTACTTTAATGGAAAATCATCAAAGACTGAGGCACCACACACCATTGTATATGATGTTAGGAGTATAGCTAAATATTCTAGTACATTATTGTTAATGTACTAGGCAATCATGAATTTCTATAATATGGTAGACATCCTGAAGTAATTTTGAATGAAAGTATACAAAGTCTTGTATACTATGAAATATACAGTATATAATATGAAATGTATATATGTTCTTTTTTTGTACAAAATGAAAGTTTACAAAGCCTTAGTATAGCTACACTTGGAATACTGCAGTTTTGGTCACAATATAAAAAGAATGTTGAGACTCTGGCAAGTGTGCAGAAAAGCGCAATAAAGATGATTAAGGGGATGGAGACTAAGACATATGAAGAATGGTTGCAGGAATTAGATATGTTTTATCTAGTAAAAAGAAGGACTAGGGGATATATGATAGCAGTGTTCCAGTATTTGAGGGGATGTCACAAAGATGACGGAGCATCAAGGAGAAAAGTAACCTAGAATTAAGAAGGAATTTCCTAACAGTGGGAACAATCAACCCATGGAACAGCTTGCCTTCAGAAGTTGTAGGTGCTTTATCACCGGAGGTTTTCAAGAAGAGACTAGATAGCCACTTC